CCTCTCAGGGTGTCCGTACCGCCAGTCACGTGCCGTATAGTAGAATTCCGTACCGTTTCGTATCGTCAAATCTTGTATCGTGCTGTTTTAATATCGTTTAGATTACCGTTGCGTTCCGTGCCGAATTTAAGTCCTAGCGTGACGTGGCAATTTTGGCCGTTTCGTATCGTGTACCGAAAAGCGGGATTTACGCGGAAAATTTCTTCGTGAGCCGAGTTACCGTAAATGAGAAAACGGCTCCGCAAGAATATTATTCAACGCGTAATCTCCGCCGAAACATATTATCGTTATCGTTTTTTTTTCCTTTCCTTGAAATTCTGTTGTTCGAACATCGAGTCATTATTGCCGAGTAAAAGCGATAAGACCGTTGAATAAAGTAAACTTTTTCCGCATAAACATTCTTGGAGTTGCCGTTAAGCATAGCCTTTGTTTTCTGTCGAAAATATATTGTACAATATCATCGCCGATTACCGTAAGGGAAATTCGATTCGATTTATATCGAAATTTTATAAGGCCCGTCGGCCGGCAAAACTATATTAAAATTATATTCATTTGTGATCTATTAGTCGACACTAGCCGTTATTAATTGTCTGCAGTGAAAGTTACCGTCAAATATTGTATAAAGTCTAATTCGATTTATCTCGAAATTCTACGTGAGGCTCGTGCCTCCAAGAGTGTTCCGTAACGTATCGTACGCGTATGCTGTAGTCTGATCGTAGATCTTCTCTTATAATTGATTACCGCTGATTACCGTTGATTATCGAAGGAAAATTAATCGATATTATATTGAAATCTGTTAGCGAGGCTGGTGCCTCTGCGTATGTTCCGAAATCTGACGTAATTCGTTCTTGAGTTTTATCGAGTATTTCGCCGCTAATGATTAACTGATCTTTCTCATCACAATTCGTGAGATATTATGTTCATTTCCGTATTGCTCTCATTGCCGTCTTAAAATCACACATTTTGAATAGTTCGTTATCCGAGTCATTATACTTGACCTTCGCGTCATCCGTTATAAATTGTAAGCCCTCTATTTCGCAAACTCATCTTATAGATCGTTATCGTCCGAGATTTATCTGTTATTACTTTTACTTTTTTTTGTATTTACCGAATCTTATATATCATAGTATTCTTGTCTCTGTTACATTATTTCTTCTGTATTATAACTGTTTAATATATTCTAAGTAATTGTAAGTAAGATTAACTCAGTGTCGATTGTTTCTCTCTCCCACACCTTATCTAGCGTTCTCTCTCTGTATAAAATTCGCAAAGAACCTTGCCCCTCTGCCACATACTGAGCTCTGGGTTACCGGATCTTGCCGTTACCGTATCGTTATCGTGGCGCGGAAATACCACGCCTGGCGCCCAATTATCTTCTTAATTTCAGGAAATAAGTTACCGCATTATAAGTTACCGCACGCTACCGTAATTTGGAGATACCGCTTAAAACCTGATACCGTTAAATACCGTATCGGCCAAACTTGCACGCTACCCCTCGGGATCGGCGTTCTCGAGGTGGGCAACGGCGTCGCAATATATATATATATATATATATATATATATATATATTGTCACGTCCTGCGATCCCATAGATCCCTAGATCGCTAGATCTAGCAGAAATTTTTTCCTTTCTCACTATCCTCCATTCAATAAGCTACAAGCACAAACTAACATGAAACTAAGAGAGACACACTTATACGTCACCTATAATAAAATATTAATCTGAGGGAGAGATATATATATGAATCATTTATACGAGCGAGATAGACTTATATGTAATACTTAGGAAAGACAAAGACCGATATAAGGAAGTCCTTTTAAATATAAGCTTCTTTTATATAAAAATATATTGTAAAAAATGTCTAAAAGATTAAAGAGAATCTATTTATGTAAAAATCATGATAAACGACCAATATTTTAAATAATCAAATAATTATTGTAATTCTTTGAAAAGGGTCATTTAATAAATCGTAATTTATTATAATGTAAGACACGACCTTAATAAATCGTAATTTATTATAATGTAAGACACGACCTTGCAAGCAATGCATTCGGAGAATCAACTAATACGTATTCCTAAAAAACCTTTCTCTTAAAGACCACCCAAGAATTTCGCTAAAATCCGTTTCATAACTAAAGAATTTGTTCTTAAAACTCCGTCATAAATTACCCCTACCATTCAATTTTAAAAGAGTATAAAAACTCTTCCAACAACGAAAGAAAAGATCAGTTCAGCTCAGTTCAACCTCATTCTTGTTCTCAAGCTTAGCTCAGTTTATTCTCATTTTCGTTCTCATAGATTCACTCCAGACTTAAACTCACTCAGATTCTTATTTGTACTGTAAACCGCTAGACCAAGTCAAGTCAGAATAAAGAATTTAAATTTTAAACAAATTTAATCAGGTTTAGTAACAACCGCTGTTGTAATTACTGGTGTTATATGCCGTGTAAACCGTGCTTTATGCCGATGTTATTACACCATTTGTAGTAACGCTACTCCTGCTGAAGAAAAGGAGTAGACTTACAAATCCAGCTTTAAGAAGACGTGTAAACGATACGAGAGTTATAACAATCGTATTACCAACCTGAATAATCAAGTGACGAGTACTAGTATACAAAAACTGCCAATAAGTTAAAGTAAACATGTAATTGCTATGTGATTGCTTGTATTGCTCCTTGCGTGTAAACAAACATCACTTTTAGGGAGTTATAACTACGATTGTTACTAAACCTGATTAACGTTACCGTGTAAACGTACTCATTGTAGACGCTTAAGGCCTTTGCACGTACAAAAATTTGTAACGGTACGGCCTATCCCGTTCGCCACGGACTGGCTCGCCGGTGCCAAGATTCGGGAGTAGGTAGGAGAGTCAAGCTTACGAATCCTCTTTCAGTAATAAACAAGCCTTTATTGGTAAATACCTTATACTAGATCTTATCCTACGCGGTGATTATAACTAACTTAATATTACGCGAGCTTAGCCTACGGTGCGCACGTACTTATTCTTCTAGCTTAACCTACGGACGATTACAGTAAACAGCCTAGACGGTCGATCGCGGTTTCGGTCGGCGAGCGCGTCGCGATTGCGGAGGTCACCGTACGGCGGTGCGCGGAGGCCGAGTGCCGGGCAGACCCAGGCTGCGGAGAGGTCAGACCCGTCTCCGTCGGCGGGAACGGTCAGGAAGCCGAATGCCGGGCAAACCCAGGCGGCGGAGAGGTCACACCCATCTCCGTCGGCGGGAACGGTCAGGAAGCCGAATGCCGGGCAAACCCAGGCGGCGGAGAGGTCACACCCGTCTCCGTCGGCGGGAACGGTCAGGAAGCCGAATGCCGGGCAAACCCAGGCGGCGGAGAGGTCACGCCCGTCTCCGTCGGCAGGAACGGTCAGGATTCAAGATGCCTCAGTTATTCCCTGAGGTTCAGAACAGGTCGGAAGCTGGAAAGGAATAAGGTACCGGTCTGTTGCGCGAGCCGGCTTTTATACGGCTCGAGGGCCCCCCACGCTCGCGTGCGTCAAGGAGGGAGTAAGGCTAGGTGGGGAAACCCATAGGCGGGATCGCAGGTGGGCGCCAGAGGCGTCGAGTAAGGAATTTACTCGAGAAATTACTATAGTTAATGTCTTTATTTTATAAATTTTGGAACAATAAACAAATGAACACATGAACGAACTAAACTATGATGAACTAGAGAACAATTTAATATTACTATTTACAAGAATTATTTACAGTGACGAGAGCATCGTCACACCACCCCGCGTTTAGGGGGGTCCGTCGAGGCGCCGGGCCGCTCGGGGGCGGCCGTCCGGGTGAAATCTGATCACCCATCGGCCCGACGCGGTGCGGACCTTATACCTCCGCCCGATGATGGCCGATCCGGCGGGGACCTCGACCACGGTGCCGTCGCCTAGGCGGACGGGAATGGTCCCGGCGATAGGTGGCCCGGCGGTCTGCGGTCGGGTGGTTGCCGGTCGGGTGGCGGGTGGTCCGGCGGGCGTGGATGGTCCGGTGGTTGCAGGCCGGGCGGTAGGCGATCCGACGGTCGCAGGTTGGATAATCGCTGGGCCGGCGGTCGTGGGCCGGGTAGTCGGCGGGCCGATGCTCGCAGGCCGGGCGGTAGGCGGTCCGACGGTCGCAGGCCGGGTAGTACGTGGCCCGAGGTTTGCAGGCCGAGCGGTAGGCGGCCCGACGGTCGTAGGTCGGGCAGTCGCGGGGTCGGCGGTCGTGGGCCGGATAGTCGGCGGACTGATGTTCGCAGGTCGGACGGTATACGGCCCGATGTTCGTCGGCCTGGTCATCGGGGCTCTGGTGGAAGAGTGCGGTCCGGCGGTCGGTGGCCTGGATGTCGAGGCCTTGCTGGTCCTGGCAACTGGCGGACGGCTGGTAGCTGACCGGGGGCCGGCTAGGGCGACGATTCTTTCGCGGCGGCGCGGCTTAACCTTCGGCGGCGTCGCTAGGATGATCGCCTTCCGCCGGTTTGCCTGATCGGATCGCTGGACGGATGTCCCGGGCCGCGGCGGTCGTCGGGATCGTTCTGGGCTCGGGGTCGCTGGAGGGTCGCGGTTCGACAGGCGTCGGCGGCGTCGTGGTCGGCGTGGGCCTGTTGGTGTCGGACTCAGAGCTGGAGCTGATTTTTCCAAAGAGGTCGAATACCTCGCGTCGGTCCATCGTGACTGTTACTCCGTGCGGGGTTGCACGGCCTTATATACCCTGTGCGCTGCTCCTGGAGGGGATTTGTTCGCGGAATTTCCGATAGCTCGGGGTGTCCCGTGGTTCCAGGGAAAGTAGCGGAGTGCGGTCGCAGGCCGAGCAGTAGCCGGACCGGCGGGGGCAGGTCGGGCAATATGCGGTCCGCCATCCGCAGGTCGGGCAGTAGATGGTCCGGCGGCCGCAGGTCGGGCAGTAGGTGGCCCGTGGTTCTAAGGGAAATTCCTTAGTAACGGAGTTCGTCCGAATGCTCCAAGGTGGCGGTACTTCGGCGTGGTCGGTAACTTTCTGCCGGATTATGCGTCATCCTCGTCCACCCGAGGGCTTTCTGGTATGTTCGGTTGCGGTTTCAGGCCCTGTACATGGATATGCCGATGCCATTTCCCGTGTTCGTCGCGTAGATCCATGATGACTGGGGATATTATCCTGCGTACTTCCATGGGCCCCGAAAATCGAGGGGCGAGTTTGGCGTTAAACGCGTCGTCGCGGCTGGACAGGGGGCGTTCTCGCTTCCAAACCTTGTCGCCCACCTAGGGGCGCCAGTCGCGTCGTCTCATGTTATAATGGCGCTCCTGTTTTTGGAAGGCTCCGGCTAGGTGCACCTTGGCGACTTCATAGGCCTCTTCCAGGCGTTGTCGATGCGACTCTGGAGAAGTCAGGTTTGGCGTTGGTTGTCGCTCGGCAGGATGGGGAGGTGCCAGTTCGCGGCCGTGGAGCAGAAAGGCCGGGGTGTATCCGGTGGCCTCGTGTCGAGCGGTGTTCACCGCGAACTGCAACGCGTCAATGTGCTCGTCTCAATCCCGGTGCCGGTCGCCCACGTATTGACTAATCATGGTCTTGATGGTCCGATTCGCCCTCTCCACCGGGTTGCGCGCGTAGACAGGTGACGTGCGGTGCTGGATCCCGAATGATGCCAGCAAGGTACGGAACTGGCGAGAGGTGAACTGGGTCCCGTTGTCCGAGATGAGTTGGCCCGGGCATTCATGCCAGTAGATGATGCGGCGGGTCACTTCTTTCGCTAGTGCCGTGGCGGTGGCGCGTCGCAGGGGAACCATCTCGATCCATTTGCTGAACCAGTCCTGGGCGGTCAGGAGCCAGACATGTCCACGGACCGAGCGTGGCAGAGGACCGACTAGATCCACTGAGACTTGCTGCCACGGGGCGGTCACTGGGGTAGCGTGTAGATTCCCTGCTGGTCGTTGTTGCGGTACCTTGTGGGTTAGGCAGCTCGAACAGCTCCGAACGTACCGGGCTGTCTCCCGGAATATCCCCGGCCAGTGGTACAACCGGGCGAGTCGGGCGATGGTCTTAGCCACTCCTAGATGCCCTGCGGTTGGATCGTCGTGTAGCCGGCGTAGGATGTCGAGCCGTTGTTCCCGAGGGACGCACTGTTTCCATTGCTCGGTGGAGGGTACCTCGCTAAAATCCAGGTCGTGTAGCACATGTCGAAACAGTTGGCCGTCACGTATCTCGTAATCGGGGTACTCGTCTGGTCGGCTCTTTACCTCTCTGAGGAGGCGTTGGTACCATGGACACGCTATCCGGTGTTGCATTGCGTTGAGCTGCAGGTTCCCGGGAGAGGGCATCGGCTACTTGATTTTGTCCTCCTCTTCTATAGTGTATGGTGAAGTCGAACTGTTGCAGTTCGAAGAGCCACCGCCCCAGGCGTCCGGACGGGTTCTCCAGATGTTGCAACCACTTGAGGGACTGGTGGTCTGTTACAACGGTGAATCGATACCCCTCCAAGTAGTCTCGCATTCGCCGGATTCCCCATACCACGGCGAGACATTCCAACTCGGTCGCGCTGTAGTTCCGCTCGGCATCGTTGAGCGTTCGGCTGGCGTATGCGATTATTCTCTTTCCCTCCGTCTGGTGCTGCGTTAGCACGGCTCCTAGCCCATGTGAACTGGCATCGGTTTGTAGCAGGAACGGTTTCTGAAAGTCCGGGCAGGCCAGAACCGGGGTGGAGGTCAATGCTTCCTTCAGTTGTCGAAAGGCTGCGTCTTCGGGGGTCCCCCATGTCCAGCCAGCTCGTTTTTTGGTCAGCGCTGTAAGCGGCGCCGCTAGTGTGAAAAATTCGAGATGAACCTCCGATACCACGAGGCCATTCCTAAAAATTGCCGGACCTTGCGCACTGTGGTGGGCTGGCCAACTGGTGATAGCGCTGACTTTGTCTGGGTCCGTGTGTATCCCCTTGTCGATCAATTACATGTTCTAGGTAACGGAGGCTCGGACGGCAGAAGTGGCACTTATCCGGGTTTAAGCGTAGCTTTGCTTTGCGTAGTCGCCGGAATACCTCTCTCAAGTGCTGCAGGTGTTCGCTGAACGTCTTGCTGGCGATTATTATATCGTCCAAGTATACGAGGACGTTAGGTTCGAGGTCGGGGCCGATCACTGTGTCTAGCAACCGCTGGAAGGTCGCCGGGGCTGAGTGCAACCCGAAAGGCATGACCGTGAATTGGTACAAACCCTTCCCTGGTACGGTGAAGGCGGTTGCAGGTCGACTCCCTTGGTTCAGTGGTATCTGCCAGTAACCACTCTTTAGGTCTAACGTTGTCAGGTATTTCGCCCCGCGTAACTTGTCTAGCGTAGCCGTGATGTGCGGCAAGGGATAGGCGTCTTTATCTGACATTGCATTCAGCCTGCGGAAATCGATGCAGAATCTATGCTGCCCATTTTTCTTTCGAACCACCGGTGAGCTCCAAGCGCTGTTCGAGGGCTCGATGACGCCTTCGGCGAGCATTCGGTCGACCTCCTCATTGATGACGGCCTGCATGGCCGGGTTTCGAGGCCGGTACCGCTGTTTGATGGGCGATCCAGGCTTTAGCCGGATGCGATGTTCGGCTCGGTCGGTTCGTCCCGTGATTACTTCAAACAATGGTAACTCAGCAGCTAAAAAGTCCCGGAGTTGCGCTTCTTCGTCTGCTTCGTTGCTGGGGCCGACGGTGATCGTGTTGGTTCGGGAAACTGTCCCGGTCTGGTTCAACGGAGGTGGCGGCAAAGTGAATCCCATCTTAGCCCACAGGTCGGTACCAATCAGCACAGCGCTAGCTAGACCAGGGAGTATGCAGAAGTCGTGCCAGTAGGTTCTCCCATGCCATCGGAGAGTGACCCCTACCCCAGTGACCCCTACCCGTGTGTTATCTGCCAGGAGGACGTAGTCTCCTCGGTTCTGGGCTAGTCGGGGTATTCCGGGGAATAGTCGTGCAGTCTCTTCCTGTATGCACGAGACTTCAGATCCGGGGTCTATGAGAGCCGCGAACGGTTGTCGCCGGACGTGCACTTGGAGGTGTGGGCGCGGATGATATTCTATTCGAGGCTGGGTTGGGAGACGGCCGCTACGTCCCCGGCTCGTTGGGCGTTTCCCGTCGGCGGGTGGCAGTCGCGAGTCAGGACACCATCTTTGCCGCATCGCGAGTAGAATTTTCTTGGTGGCCGCTTACAATCCACTCGAGTGTGGCCTCACTGCTTACATCTCCAGCAGCATTCCTCCCGGTTGTAGGTGAGCGACTGATGGTTTGGCGGTCGCTGGAGTTCGATCCTGTCGACGGTGGTTGATTTCCTCAATCTTAGATATCCGGGTCCGGAGTTCGCTCATGGTGAGCGGAACATAGAGCTAGTGCTCGGAATACATGTTTTCGTAGATTTGCTTCAGCTGTTCTCGCTCGGAGTATTCTCCAGCTCGGCACATCATGGTGAGAAGCGTATTGGAGTATTCGCGAAACGACTCCCCCGGCTTTTGGGAGCGTCCGTTGACTGCTCGTTTTAGTCGCCTCAGGTATCCCGGCGGTAGGTAGTAATCCCGGAACTGTTCGCAGAAACTGGCCCAAGTTTCCCAGGTATCGTGGTGGTTTCGATACCACAAGAGGGCGTCCCCTTTTAGTAATTCCGGTAGGCCCAAGAGTAAGTGGTCTTCTTCGAAGCCATAACTGACTCTTAGCTCTTCAACTCTCTCTAGGAATGAGAGCGGATCCACTCCTTCGAAACGGTGGCCCCATTTCCGGATCTGGTTGATGATCTCGATGCGTTCCGTTGGACTCAAGGTGGGCATGGTCGCGGTTTCTCCTGGTACGTCACCGCTGTTGTTCCTCGGGTTGTCGGACGGGTGGGCAGCGAAGTACAGGCGCAATCGGCGTCTCAGCAGGTCCACCTGGCGTGTGGTATCCACTTCGTACCGGTGGAGATATTCTACAAGCTGTTCTTTGGAAAGGTTATTAATCCACGCAGTCATGAGGCTTTTCGCTAGCTAGACTCTCCTTAAACGGTCCCTGTTCGGGCGCCATGTAACGGTACGGCCTATCCCGTTCGCCACGGACTGGCTCGCCGGTGCCAAGATTCGGGAGTAGGTAAGAGAGTCAAGCTTACGAGTCCTCTTTCAGTAATAAACAAGCCTTTATTGGTAAATACCTTATGCTAGATCTTATCCTACGCGGTGATTATAACTAACTTAATATTACGCGAGCTTAGCCTACGACGGTGCGCACGTACTTATTCTTCTAGCTTAACCTACAGACGATTACAGTAAACTTATCCTAGACGGTCGGTCGCGGTTTCGGTCGGCGAGCGCGTCGCGATTGCGGAGGTCACCGTACGGCGGTGCGCGGAGGCCGAGTGCCGGGCAGACCCAGGCTGCGGAGAGGTCAGACCCGTCTCCGTCGGCGTGCACGGTCAGGAAGCCGAGTGCCGGGCAAACTCAGGCGGCGGAGAGGTCACGCCCGTCTCCGTCGGCGGGAACGGTCAGGAAGCCGAATGCCGGGCAAACCCAGGCGGCGGAGAGGTCACACCCGTCTCCGTCGGCGGGAACGGTCAGGAAGCCGAATGCCGGGCAAACCCAGGCGGCGGAGAGGTAACACCCGTCTCCGTCGGCGGGAACGGTCAGGATTCAAAATGCCTCGGTTATTCCCTGAGGTTCAGAACAGGTCGGAAACTGGAAAGGAATAAGGTACTGGTCTGTTGCGCGAGCCGGCTTTTATACGGCTCGAGGGCCCCCCACGCTCGCGTGCGTCAAGAAGGGAGTAAGGCTAGGTGGGGAAACCCATAGGCGGGATCGCAGGTGGGCGCCAGAGGCGTGTCGAGTAAGGAATTTACTCGAGAAATTACTATAGTTAATGTCTTTATTTTATAAATTTTGGAACAATAAACAAATGAACACATGAACGAACTAAACTATGATGAACTAGAGAACAATTTAATATTACTATTTACAAGAATTATTTACAGTGACGAGAGCATCGTCACAAATTTTAGTCGTAACCGTAAGATCATAAGACAACTGACCAACCACAGTTAATTATTATTTTATCGCCGAAAGAATACTCAACTACTCAACTGATTTGCCAGTTTTCTTACGGCCTTACGGTTACGATTAAAATTTTGTACGTGCGAAGGCCTTTAAGCATCTTATATAATAAGATTTTAAGGCGTAAGACTTAAGAAATTGATCAATCACAGTCTAGTATTCTCTACATACTTGACTGTGATTAATTAATTTCTTAAGTCTTACGCCTTAAAATCTCATTGTAGAAGACGCTTAACACGTCGTCTACAATGGCAGTAGGATTAATGGATTAAAGCAGTAACTTAAGGAATTGACCAATCACATTCAAGCATTAAAAGAATACTCGACTGTGATTGACCAATTTATTGAGTTACAGCTTTAATCCATTAATTCTACTGCCGTTGTAGACGATGCTTTAGGGTCGTCCACAGTGGCCGTAGCATCAGGTTGTAAGGCATAAGATTCAAGAAAGTGACCAATCACAGTCAAATATTAAGAGAATACTCGACTGTGATTGGTCAATTTTTTGAGTTTTACGCCTTACAACCTTATGTTACGGCCATGCATACGAACCTTTAATCCCGATTTATCACAGGTTTAAGCCCTAAGCCTTAAGAAATTGTCCAATCACAGCCGAGCATTGTCTTCATAAGCCGCGTTACGAAATTATTATTAGTATACTGCAAATTCCATAGTGCACGTTACGTATATTATATATTTTCAGTGTTGACAGTTAACTGGCAGCAATTTCGGAACACGGCCATACTTGACTGTGATTTGTCAATTTCTTGAATCTTACGCCTTACAATCTTATGCTACGGTCATTGTAGACGACTCTTGAGGCGTCGACTACATTGAGATTTTAAGGAGACTTAAGGCGTAAGACTTAAGAAGTTAACCAATCATAATCGAATATTCTGTTAATACTTGACTGTAATTGGTTAATTTCTTAAACCTTACGCCTTAAGTCTCTTTAAAATTTCATTGTAGACGACGCTTAATGTAGCGTTTATAATAAGATTTTAAGTCGTAAGACTAAAGAAATTGACCAATCACAGAATAGTATTAAGGGAATATTCGATTGTGTTTGGTGAATTTCTTAATACAAACGCCTTAATATCTCATTGTAGATGACGCTTAAAGGCAATTCTACAGTGGCTGTAGCATAAGGTTGTAAGGCGAAAAACTCAAGAAATTGACCAATCACAGTCAAATTTTAAGAGAATACTCGACTGTTATTGGTCAATTTCTTGAGTTTTACGCCTTACAATCTTATCCAACGGCCATTGCAGACGAACCTTTAATCCCGATCTACAACAGATAATTTAAGCCCAGAGCCTTAAGAATTTGACCAATCACAGCCGAGCATTCTCTTCATTAGCCGTGTTCCGAAATTGTTACCAGTACTGCAAATTCTATAGTGCACGTTACGTATATTATATATTTTCAGTGTTGGCAATAAACTGGCAGCAATTTCGGAACACGGCCATACTTAAATGTGATTGGTCAATTTCTCGAGTCTTACGCCTTACAACATTACACTACGGCCATTGTAGGCGACTCTTGAATCGTCTTCTACACTAAGATTTTAAGGAGACTTAAGGCGTAAGACTTAAGAAATTGACCAATCACAATCGAATATTTTCTTAATACTTGACTTTAATTGATCAATTTCTTAAATCTTACGATTTAAGTCTTGTTACGTCCTGGCGAGGTCGCGGCCCTTTCGAGTGCTCGGACTATGCGCCGGACAGTGCCGTTATTTTAGGAGCTTGACTCCTAGGGATTACCCAACGGCTAGGGTATCTGGACGATGGATTTCTACCTGCCGGGACGGACCGAATGGGCACGTACGCGTAAAATTTTCCCTGTCGGCTAGTTACCGATCGTCGCGATGTTACAAACGAACTATTTACCGACTGATGGTGGTTGTCGACTCGAGAATCTTACCGATTGTTTGTCGATTATGGAAAATCTCGCACGGTAAAGCTGGCGGAGATCGTGCCGTCCACGAAGACCTTAATCGGATCGGGTAGAGAGTAATATTTTACACTTTGCCGTCTTAAATTTATTATAAAATTAATATAGGCCGAGGTACACTTGTCGCAATCGAAAGAAAAGAAATTCGCTAGGTTACGAGAGCAAGTTGTGCAATGAACGCCGCTGTAGGTGGTACTGTTTATGGCAAGGTGAACGTTGAAATACGCATACAGGTCCTTAATGATTATAAAGCAAGAAGCGCAATAAGGTATTAGATGAGTTCGGTGTGCGAATCCGGAGATGTGTGTGCAGCGGATACTTCGAACCCTTCGGCGTACTTCGTCGCGGACGGTTTCGGGATTCATGTGGATATAGTCAAATTTAGTCAAGACGATGAGATTATGGCTTTATAAATTTATTTATAGTTAATAATTTACAAGATTGAAGGGAGATTGAACGCTTGCAGGATTAATATTATTGGAAAGTAATATCTTTGGTCCCTTGCTAGACGGGGGAAAACTCTGGGGTCAGGTAGAGGAGGTCTTGGGGTAATAAAATAGGGTTGCCGCGCCTGGGAGCAATAAAAGTGAAATCGAGTGGTCCCCTTTTGTTTCCGGTCTTCCTGTTTGAACGTGTTGAGTGCAGAATTCGTTATATGAAAGTTATTCTAGTATGATAGGTTGATCCGCAGTTCCCCAATGTTCGGGGGTGCTGGCCCCGTACGCGTTATGCAATACTTCCGCGCGGAGTTGGAGATACCTGGTTCTCTTCGGGTTTCCCGCTGCGTATTCCAAGGGTGGTAGAGACGGACTGGTATCTATTACTTTCAGTTCACGCGGCCACGGAAAATACTCTATTGTCTTAATTCTGATGTCCTTCCTTAGGGTCTTAGGTTCTTTTATGGCAAGCCGTGGGTCGAAGTATGCTTCGTATTCAGGGTCGAAACCTATTCTTTCTGTCCCCAACAAGTCGCTGTCCTCTTGGGTAACAGGGTCGTATTTATAATTAAAGTATAATTTGCGCGCGTGGTATAGATGTCCGTCTCTCCTTGCTTTGGGCATCTACAGAAAAGATTATATTAATATAATTGCGCTAGGTTCGACCATGGGGTTGTGACGGATTTCAGGAACAGCGTGCGATTGTTCGCACCAGAG